CTTCCTGGGAGTAACTGTCGTTCTTCCTTTCATGCCTCTGCTCCTAGGAGAAACTGCCGTTCTTCCCGTCCTGCCTCTGCTCCTAGGAGTAACTGTCGCTTATCCCGTCATGCCTCTGCTCCTAGGAGTAACTGTCGCTCTTCCCGTCATGCCTCTGCTCCTAGGAGTAACTGTCGTTCTTCCCGTCATGCCTCTTCCTGGGAGTAACTGTCGTTCTTTCCCGTCATGCCTCTGCTCCTAGGAGTAGCTGCCGATCTTCCCGTCATGCCTCTGCTCCTAGGAGTAGCTGCCGATCTTCCCGTCATGCCTCTGCTCCTAGGAGTAGCTGCCGTTCTTCCCGTCATGCCTCTGCTCCTAGGAGTAACTGCCGTTCTTCCTTTCATGCCTCTGCTCCTAGGAGTAACTGCCGTTCTTCCCGTCCTGCCTCTGCTCCTAGGAGTAACTGTCGCTTATCCCGTCATGCCTCTGCTCCTAGGAGTAACTGTCGCTCTTCCCGTCATGCCTCTGCTCCTAGGAGTAACTGTCGTTCTTCCCGTCATGCCTCTGCTCCTAGGAGTAACTGTCGTTCTTCCCTTCATGCCTCTGCTCCTAGGAGTAGCTGCCGATCTTCCCGTCATGCCTCTGCTCCTAGGAGTAGCTGCCGTTCTTCCCGTCATGCCTCTGCTCCTAGGAGTAACTGCCGTTCTTCCTTTCATGCCTCTGCTCCTAGGAGTAACTAACTGCCTTTCTTCCTTTCATGCCTCTGCTCCTAGGAGTAACTGTCATTCTCCCCTTCATGCCTCTGCTCCTAGGAGTAACTGCCGATCTTCCTGTCATGCCTCTGCTCCTAGGAGTAACTGCCGTTCTTCCCGTCATGCCTCTGCACCTAGGAGTAACTGCCGTTCTTCCCGTCCTGCCTCTGCTCCTAGGAGTAACTGTCGTTCTAACTTTCATGCCTCTGCTCCCAGGAGTAACTGTCGTTCTTCCCATCATGCCTCGGCTCCCAAGAGCAATTGCCTTCCCATCATGCCTCGGCTTCTAGGAGTAACTGCCGTTCTTTCCGTCATGTCTTTGCTGCTAGGAGTAACTGCCGTTCTTCCCGTCATGCCTCTGCTCCTAGGAGTAACTGCCGTTCTTCCCGTCATGCCTCTGCTCCTAGGAGTAGCTGCCGTTCTTCCCGTCATGGCCTCTGCTCCTAGGAGTAACTGCCGTTCTTCCTTCATGCCTCTGCTCCTAGGAGTAACTGCCTTTCTTCCTTTCATGCCTCTGCTCCTAGGAGTAACTGTCATTCTCCCCTTCATGCCTCTGCTCCTAGGAGTAACTGCCGATCTTCCTGTCATGCCTCTGCTCCTAGGAGTAACTGCCGTTCTTCCCGTCATGCCTCTGCACCTAGGAGTAACTGCCGTTCTTCCCGTCCTGCCTCTGCTCCTAGGAGTAACTGTCGTTCTAACTTTCATGCCTCTGCTCCCAGGAGTAACTGTCGTTCTTTCTTCCCATCATGCCTCTGCTCCCAGGAGTAACTGTCGTTCTTCCCATCATGCCTCTGCTCCTAGGAGTAACTGTCGTTCTTCCCATCATGCCTCGGCTCCCAAGAGCAATTGCCTTCCCATCATGCCTCGGCTTCTAGGAGTAACTGCCTTTCTTTCCGTCATGTCTTTGCTGCTAGGAGTAACTGCCGTTCTTCCCGTCATGCCTCTGCTCCTAGGAGTAACTGCCGTTCTTCCCGTCATGCCTCTGCTACTAGGAGTAACTGGCTTCCCATTACGCCTCTGGGAGTAACTGTCGTTGTTCCCGTCAACCTCTGCTCTAGGAGTAACTGCCTTCCCATCACCCCTCTGCTCCTAGGAGTAACTGCCTTCCCATCACGCCTCTGCTCCTAGGAGTAACTGCCTTCCCATCACGCCTCTGCTCCTAGGAGTAACTGCCTTCCCATCACGCCTCTGCTCCTAGGAGTAACTGTTGGTTTTCTTATCATGTCAAGTGTTTGGGCGTTCATTGTTTTTATTAGCCGGAATAGTCATTTATACAAATGATTGAATGCTCAGGCTCTAAATGCACCTAGGGGTAAGGAGTAACTGCCGTTCTTCCCGTCATGTCTCTGCTCCTAGGAGTAACTGCCGTTCTTCCGTCTGCCTCTGCTCCTAGGAGTAACTGCCGTTCTTTCCCGTCATGCCTCTGCTCCTAGGAGTAACTGCCGTTCTTCCCGTCATGCCTCTGCGTCCTAGGAGTAACTGCCGTTCTTCCCGTCATGCCTCTGCTCCTAGGAGTAACTGCCGTCTTCACCGTCATGCCTCTGCTCCTAGGAGCAATTGCCTTCCCATCATGGTGCTTCTAGGAGTAACTGCCGTTCTTCCCATCATGCCTCTGCTTCTTGGAGTAACTGGCTTCCCATTACGCCTCTGGGAGTAACGTCGTGTGTTCCCATCACACCTCTGCTCCTAGGAGTAACTGCCTTCCCATCACACCTCTGCTCCTAGGAGTAAACTGCCTTCCCATCACGCCTCTGCTCCTAGGAGTAACTGTCGGTCTTCCCATCATGTCAAGTGTTTGGGCGTTCATTGTTTTTTATTAGCCGGAATAGTCATTTTATACAAATGATTGAACGCTCGCTCTAAATGCACCTAGGGGGTAAGGCGCCGGGGCGATTTCTCTGCCCAAAAGATCCTCTCCTGAAAGTGATTTTGGTGCACCGCGCGCCCCGGGGGTACGGTGTAGGGCGGCACCGCGCGCCCCGGGGGTACGGTGTAGGGCGGCACCGCGCGCCCCGGGGGTACGGTGTAGGGCGGCAACCGCGCGCGCCCCGGGGGTACGGTGTAGGGCGGCACCCGCGCGCCCCGGGGGTACCATGTAACACCATTGTTTTCACTGAGGAGTTGCAGAGCTTTCAGGACTGTTTGTGTTTCTCCCCCACAGGATCGGAAAGGTTGGAAATCAGAAGAGAGTGGTCGGCGTTCTCCTGGGATCTTGGCACAAGAAAGTTTTAGATGTTTCAAACAGTTTTGCAGGTAGGAATCCCCCCCTCTTCTCTGGTCAGCAGTCTCATGCACACCACAATTGTCTGCTGTCACATTCTCCCCGTATGTGGCTTTCCCTCTCCTCCTCCCGTGTGACAGCGCTGGTGATTAGATGTACAGACACCCGATGCGGTCACATGGGGGTGGGAGAGTCCTCAGCCCAGTGTGAGTTGGGACTTGGGCGACCTTTCATAGTTCTCAGTCATGAACAGTGGGGGAGATTTACTAAAACTGGAGAGTACAAAATTTGGTGCAGCTGAGCATGGCAGCCTATCAGCCTCTAACGTCAGCTTGTTCTATTAAAGTGGTTCTAAGTCTGAAATGTTTTTTTACTTTTTTGCATTATTGTACAAAACGTTTTATATTTTTCTGTCCTCCACCTTCCCTGCGTGAAGAGGAAGAGATCAGCGCTGTGCACAGCTACGTTTCCTCTCCCCTCTCTTCCCTCTTCGCACATGACTTGCGCATGTGAGGAGGAAGTGGGAGGTGGGGCTGAGCACAGCTGCGTATGTCTAGCTTCATTGACACAACTCGGGAGCGAGCATGCACTGTGTACCTCCATTGTAAGTGGCTTGCTATGGGGCACACGAAGAGGAAGAGCTAAGATCTCAGGCAGGGGACCCCAGAAACCATTGATGTCACCGTTTTTGTGGTCCATACATTACTTCCTCCAGCTCCGTAGAGGGAGGTCCATACATTACTTTCTCCAGCTCCGTAGAGGGAGGTCCATACATTACTTCCTCCAGCCCGTAGAGGGAGGTCCATACATTACTTCCTCCAGCCCCGTAGTGGGGGAGGTCCATACATTACTTCCTCCAGCCCCGTAGCGGGAGGTCCATTCATTACTTCCTCCAGCCCCGTAGCGGGAGGTCCATTCATTACTTCCTCCAGCCCCGTAGCGGGAGGTCCACGCCTCACTTCCTCCAGCCCCGTAGCGGGAGGTCCACGCCTCACTTCCTCCAGCCCCGTAGCGGGAGGTCCACGCCTCACTTCCTCCAGCCCCGTAGCGGGAGGTCCACGCCTCACTTCCTCCAGCCCCGTAGCGGGAGGTCCACGCCTCACTTCCTCCAGCCCCGTAGCGGGAGGTCCACGCCTCACTTCCTCCAGCCCCGTAGCGGGAGGTCCACGCCTCACTTCCTCCAGCCCCGTAGCGGGAGGTCCACGCCTCACTTCCTCCAGCCCCGTAGCGGGAGGTCCACGCCTCACTTCCTCCAGCCCCGTAGCGGGAGGTCCACGCCTCGCTTCCTCCAGCCCCGTAGCGGGAGGTCCACGCCTCGCTTCCTCCAGCCCCGTAGCGGGAGGTCCACGCCTCGCTTCCTCCAGCCCCGTAGCGGGAGGTCCACGCCTCGCTTCCTCCAGCCCCGTAGCGGGAGGTCCACGCCTCGCTTCCTCCAGCCCCGTAGCGGGAGGTCCACGCCTCGCTTCCTCCAGCCCCGTAGCGGGAGGTCCACGCCTCGCTTCCTCCAGCCCCGTAGCGGGAGGTCCACGCCTCGCTTCCTCCAGCCCCGTAGCGGGAGGTCCACGCCTCGCTTCCTCCAGCCCCGTAGCGGGAGGTCCACGCCTCGCTTCCTCCAGCCCCGTAGCGGGAGGTCACACGCCTGCTTCCTCCAGCCCCGTAGCGGGAGGTCCACGCCTCGCTTCCTCCAGCCCCGTAGCGGGAGGTCCACGCCTCGCTTCCTCCAGCCCCGTAGAGGGAGGTCCACGCCTCGCTTCCTCCAGCCCCGTAGCGGGAGGTCCATACCTCATTACAGACCTGGGGCTGCAGGAGCCCATGCATTGCATTGCAGCTGCACAAACCTGCTTTCCCTATACCAAGGCCAGTTCTTTCCCTCTCCAGCGAATGTTATATTCCTGACGTGTTTTTCTTGCACCATTTTTGGAATTCTGCTTTAAGTGTTTTTTTTTTTTTTTTTTTTTGTCTAATTCCAAATCCTTCCCGCAGTTCCATTTGATGAAGATGATAAAGATGATTCAGTTTGGTTTCTCGACCACGACTACCTGGAGAATATGTACGGCATGTTTAAGAAAGTCAATGGTGAGTCTCACTTCAGGTATCGATTGTTTCCTGCATTGTGTTTGATGTGAACTTCAGGCAAACAGCCGCTTTTACATGCCAAAGAAATTGTATTTCTGTCCATCCAGTCCTGAGATCAGAACTGAGAGAAGGGGAGGGCAGGAGGGGCGGCTGCCCTGGGCACTGTGGTATCATGTGAGGATTTGTGTTGAGAGGGGGGATTAGGGGGGCCATCAGGGGGTGAGAATTGCTCTAGAAGAGGAAATTTTGGGAGATGTTAGGGTGGTGATTTGGAGGGATTTTTGGTGGGGGGGGGGGGGTGGAAGAGAGATTTTGTGCTAGGAGGGGGCATTTGAGGGTTCGTGCTAGAAAAGGTAATGTAACAGAGGGAGAGGGTTTTTTTTTTTTTTTTTTTTTAGTGGGGGGGATTGTGCTAGTAGATATGATTGAGGGGGATTGTGCTAGAATTTTTTTGGGGGGGAAATTTTTGCTAGGATTGGCGATTGGGGCAGCGAGCTTGGTGTTGGGAGGGGGGAAGGGATTTGTGCTCAGAGGGGAAATTTGAGAGGCAGCGGATTTGTGCTAGAAAGGGGCCATTTTTTGGGGGGGTAGGGTGAGATGGGGGGGGAGAGAGGATTTGAGTTGCAGGGAATGAGAGGGAAAGATTTGTATTAGGAGGGGGGCATTTTAGCAGGGGGCGGATTTGACTGGGAGGAGTGACCAGGATTTAATCACTTCCTGTTCTGGCTCTTTGTTTACCTGGCTGTTACAGGCCAGGTAAGCGGCCAATCAGATCAATTATCTAAAACATATCTAGTGCCTATGCTGCTGACCTCATCAGAATCTTGAGCGCTCACTGATCTTTCAACATATAGACCAATTATCTGATTGGCTGCATTGGAGACTAGAGGAGAGATTTGGGGTCTAATAGACCCCAGATCTTTCCATAAAGAGGACCTGTCATGACCCATGCTATTACAATAGATGTTACATTGTTGTTCATCCCTTGTAATAGCAATAAAGTTGATGAAAAAAAAAAAAAAGTTAAAGCTACAGTGTTAAAAAAAAAAAAAGAAAATGAAAAAAAGAAAATGTTAAAGTGCCCCCCTTCCCCCGTGCTCGCGCGCAAATGCAAACGTACACATAGGACCCGCACACGTATGTACACGGCCACTGCGATCGCACTGCATATGAGGGGTATCTCTGCAAACTTCAGAGGGAGAGAAATCATTTTTGTGCCAGACCTCCCGTGTAGCTCTAATCTGGTAAGATGTAAACACTTTTAAAGCGTTGGCGATAGAGATTTTTAGGTACCAAAATTTGTCGCTGTTCCACGGGCGGACGCAATTTTAAAGCATGTCGTGTTTGCCATCTATTTACTCGGCGTAACATCTAAATTCTAAAATAAGGGGGGGGGGGGGGGGGGTTTATATTGTTTTTTGTTTTTTTATTGCAATAAAATCCATTAAAGTGTATTTTTTACAAAAGATTTGCGTTTGTGTGACATAAATATATGCAGTGCCACCATTTATTTTCTGTAGGACCTCTGATAAAAAATATATAATGTTTGGGGGTTCCAAGTCGTTTTCTAGCAAAAAAAAATGTTTGTTTGGTTTTTTTGTTTTGTTTTTTTTTCCCATGTAGGAGAGGAATGCCACAATCGGCTGGAACTGGTTAATAAAACACGTCATCTCCTCCTACCTGCATTATTGGGCACTCTGTGGGTTTATTTACTAAAGCTGGTTCACTCCGAATCTCGCGCATTTCTGCATGGAAACCAATCGGCTTCCAGGTTTTATTGCTAAAGCTTCAATGAAAAAGCTGACGTTAGAAGCTGATTGGCTCCCGTGCACAACTGCGCCAGATTCTGAGTGAACCAGCTATAGTAAATCTCCCCCCGTGTGTCTGAATGCTCTGCCTGCCTATCTCTGTATCGGCTCCCAACAGCACCTTCACTAGACTGAGAGACCCAACAATTGTGTGATATTGGGGGTAGGTTCTGCACAGGATTGGTCAGGTCATGTACTAACCTGTGACCCAGGAATGTGGTCTGCTATAGGCTGTGCATACATGACACCACATGATCAAAGCCAATGTTGTGCGGGTGATGCACAGTGATGTTAGTTCTCCTTTTTACGTTTTTTTTGCTTTGTTCCTGAAAAGGTGAACCAGCCTTTAAATGTTGTCTATATCTGCTTGGAGTTTGGCCTTAGCAGGCAGCGCTCCCCATACTACTGGCCTTACACCCGATATCATTTCCTTTGTAGCTCGGGAGAGGATAGTTGGTTGGTATCACACCGGACCCAAACTGCACAAAAACGATATTGCAATCAACGAGCTGATGAAGAGATATTGTCCAAATTCCGTAAGTACTTCCTCCTCTGTGTGTCTTTCTGCACACGACCGGAACTTCGTATTCACATTCCATTGTCTGTGTTCCTTCCAGGTACTCGTCATCATTGATGTGAAGCCAAAAGATCTGGGCCTTCCCACTGAGGCGTACATCTCTGTGGAGGAAGTTCATGACGTAAGTAATGTAAAAGCGGAAGTTTAGTCGGATTATAGTCCGTGGTCTCTCCATCCTCAGCATGCTAATTACAGGTTTAAAGCGGAGTTCTGCCCAAAAAGTTGAAGCTCCGCTGTTCTTCCTAACCACCCCCTGCTGCCATTTGGCACCAACCCCCAGGGACACCTCACAGGTCCCAGATGACTGCGGGCCATTCACATAGCACTCTCTGTCTCCTCCCTCTCTCCCCCCTCCCTCCCCCCCCCCCCCACCAACTCCCCCCTCCCCCCCTCCTCCTCCCCCCTCTCCCCCCCTCTCTCCCCCCCCCCCTCTCTCCTCCCCCCCTCTCTCTCCCCTCTCTCCTCTCCCCTCTCTCCCCCCTCTCTCTCTCCTCCCCTCTCTCTCTCCTCCCCCTCTCCCCCCTCTCTCTCTCCTCCCCTCTCCCCCCTCTCTCTCCCCCTCCTCCCCTCTCTCTCTCCTCCCCTCTCCCCCCCTCTCTCTCCTCCTCCCCCTCTCCCCCCTCTCTCCCCCCCCTCCCTCTCTCTCTCTCTCCTCCCCTCCCCCTCTCTCTCTCTCCTCCCCTCCCTCTCTCTCTCTCCCCCCCTCTCTCTCCTCCCCCTCTCTCTCCTCCCCCCCTCTCTCCCCCCCCCCCTCTCTCCCCTCCCCCCCTCTCTCCCCTCCCCCCCCCCTCTCTCCCCTCCCCCCCTCTCTCCTCCCCCCTTCTCTCTCTCCTCCCCCCCCCCTCTCTCTCCTCCCCCCCCCTCTCTCTCCTCCCCCCCCCCTCTCTCTCCTCCCCCCCCTCTCTCCTCCCCCCCCTCTCTCCCCTCCCCCCCCTCCCCCCCCCCTCTCTCCTCCCCCCCCTCTCTCTCCCCCCCCCTCTCTCTCTCCTCCCCCCTCTCTCGCCTCTCTCCTCCCCTCTCTCTCTCTCCTCCCCCCTCTCTCTCTCCTCCCCCCTCTCTCTCTCTCTCTCCTCCCCCCTCTCTCTCTCTCCTCCCCCCTCTCTCTCTCTCCTCCCCCCTCTTTCTCTCTCCTCCCCCCTCTTTCTCTCTCCTCCCCCCTCTTTCTCTCTCCTCCCCCCTCTCTCTCTCTCCTCCCCCCTCTCTCTCTCTCCTCCCCCCTCTCTCTCTCTCCTCCCCCCTCTCTCTCTCTCCTCCCCCCTCTCTCTCTCACCCTCCCCCCCTCTCTCTCTCTCACCCTCCCTCTCCCTCCCCAAAAGGGGAAGTTCCGCTTTAAGTACTGGTTCCCCGCTCCTTCTGAGTAGTGGGTACCCCATTTTGCCAGGTCCCCCGCTTCCACTTTTGCTGCAGTCGCCTAGGTGAATGGAAGCAGAAGCTGTCACCCACACTCACCCCCCCCCCTCCCCATGGTGCTTTTGTACCATTTGATTTGCAACCGAAAACGCGCTGCGGCTTTAGATGCATGGGGGTGGCATTAAGAATGAATGGCAGCCCCGCACGTCTGCAAAGGAGAAATGCAGTTTGGTTGCGGGTGCAGGAACAGCTGCGGGTTGCGGGTGCGGGAACAGCTGCGGGTTGCGGGTGCAGGAACAGCTGCGGGTTGCGGGTGCCGGAACAGCTGCGGGTTGCGGGTGCCGGAACAGCTGCGGGTTGCGGGTGCCGGAACAGCTGCGATTTTACCAGCCGCACTAATCTTGGCCTTATATATGTTCTATCTTAGAACCTTCACATGTATCCCAGAAGGGTGGAGGGGTTTTCTTGGCACAATAGAGCCGTAATGAGTAGAAGTGATGAGTGTTAATATTGTATTTTACTTTTTCAGGACGGAACTCCAACCTCAAAGACCTTTGAACATGTCACCAGTGAGATTGGTGCTGAGGGAGCCGAAGAAGTTGGGGTGGAGCACTTGTTACGGTAATTTCCTATTTTTTTGCATTATTTAGGGATTGTCTATCAATATCTATGTTCTGATAGGAAGTAATTACTGAGCTCACTGCCCTTTAACCACTTGCCTACCCGGCACTTATACCCCCTTCCTGCCCAGGCCAGTTTTCAGCTTTCTGCACTGTTGTACTTTGACATTTGCACGGTCATGCAACACTGTACCCAAAATAAATTATCCGCTCTCCAGGGAGAGCGGATATAGTGAACGAGGGGTCCAGGGAGAGCGGATATAGTGAATGCGGGGTCCGGGGAGAGCGGATATAGTGAACGCGGGGTTCGGGGAGAGCGGATATAGTGAACGCGGGGTCCGAGGGAGTGAGGGGAGCGGATATAGTGAACGCGGGGTCCGGGGAGAGCGGATATAGTGAACGCGGGGTCCGGGGAGAGCGGATATAGTGAACGCGGGGTCCGGGGAGAGCGGATATAGTGAACGCGGGGTCCGGGGAGAGCGGATATAGTGAACGCGGGGTCCGGGGAGAGCGGATATAGTGAACGCGGGGTCCGGGGAGAGCGGATATAGTGAACGCGGGGTCCGGGGAGAGCGGATATAGTGAACGCGGGGTCCGGGGAGAGCGGATATAGTGAACGCGGGGTCCGGGGAGAGCTTGGGATATAGTGAACGCGGGGTCCGGGGAGAGCGGATATAGTGAACGCGGGGTCCGGGGAGAGCGGATATAGTGAACGCGGGGTCCGGGGAGAGCGGATATAGTGAACGCGGGGTCCGGGGAGAGCGGATATAGTGAACGCGGGGTCCGGGGAGAGCGGATATAGTGAACGCGGGGTCCGGGGAGAGCGGATATAGTGAACGCGGGGTCCGGGGAGAGCGGATATAGTGAACGCGGGGTCCGGGGAGAGCGGATATAGTGAACGCGGGGTCCGGGGAGAGCGGATATAGTGAACGCGGGGTCCGGGGAGAGCGGATATAGTGAACGCGGGGGTCCGGGGAGAGCGGATATAGTGAACGCGGGGTCCGGGGAGAGCGGATATAGTGAACGCGGGGTCCGGGGAGAGCGGATATAGTGAACGCGGGGTCCGGGGAGAGCGGATATAGTGAACGCGGGGTCCGGGGAGAGCGGATATAGTGAACGCGGGGTCCGGGGAGAGCGGATATAGTGAACGCGGGGTCCGGGGAGAGCGGATATAGTGAACGCGGGGTCCGGGGAGAGCGGATATAGTGAACGCGGGGTCCGGGGGGGGAGAGCGGATATAGTGAACGCGGGGTCCGGGGAGAGCGGATATAGTGAACGCGGGGTCCGGGGAGAGCGGATATAGTGAACGCGGGGTCCGGGGAGAGCGGATATAGTGAACGCGGGGGTCCGGGGAGAGCGGATATAGTGAACGCGGGGTCCGGGGAGAGCGGATATAGTGAACGCGGGGTCCGGGGAGAGCGGATATAGTGAACGCGGGGTCCGGGGAGAGCGGATATAGTGAACGCGGGGTCCGGGGAGAGCGGATATAGTGAACGCGGGGTCCCGGGGAGAGCGGATATAGGGAACGCGGGGTCCGGGGAGAGCGGATATAGGGAACGCGGGGTCCGGGGAGAGCGGATATAGGGAACGCGGGGTCCGGGGAGAGCGGATATAGGGAACGCGGGGTCCGGGGAGAGCGGATATAGGGAACGCGGGGCCCGGGGAGAGCGGATATAGTGAACGCCGGGTCCGGGGAGAGCGGATATAGTGAACGCCGGGTCCGGGGAGAGCGGATATAGTGAACGCCGGGTCCGGGGAGAGCGGATATAGTGAATCCCCTGTTCACACTGATGCGACCTGCCATGCTATTTGACAGTTCAAAGTTGGGCAGCACAGTGGCTAAATGGTCAGCACTTCTGCCTGGCAGTACTCAGGTCGTTGGTTTGAATCCCAGCCACGGCACCACCTGCCTGGAGTTTGCATGCTCTCCCTGTGCCTATGTAGGTTTCCTCCAGGTACTCTGCTTTCCTCCCACACTCAAAAAAAGACATGCTGGGAGGTTATTTGGCTCCTGTCTAAATTGTCCCTAGTATGTGTATGTATGAATGTGAGTTAGGGACCTTAGATTGTACGCCCCTTGAGGGTTAGGGACCTTAGATTGTACGCCCCTTGAGGGTTGGGGACCTTAGATTGTACACCCCTTGAGGGTTGGGGACCTTAGATTGTACACCCCTTGAGGGTTAGGGACCTTAGATTGTACACCCCTTGAGGGTTAGGAACCTTAGATTGTACACCCCTTGAGGGTTAGGGACCTTAGATTGTACGCCCCTTGAGGGTTAGGGACCTTAGATTGTACGCCCCTTGAGGGTTAGGGACTGATGGGAATGTATAATATATATGTAAATTGACGGCGCTATATAAGTACCTGAAATAAAATGTATGACAAGTCGCACTCTATGATCGGCAATGAAACCGTTCTAATCAGTGTGACTCTTTTTACTGCAAAGCAGTTCTTTCACTACTTTTGCTGATTTCTGGTGCGACTTCCATTGACATCTGTACATGAAGTCGCAGGTCTCTTACATGTTGATATATAAGGTATTTATAGTGCCGCGCTCCTACTTTTATGCATGTATATCTCTATATCCAGTCTGTACTCATTCTACTATATTAATAACTATATAAATCAAATGTGAATATTAATGATAAGTGATATTCCATAAACTAATATAATTGGATGATTACCAATATATTGCCAATACACACATACACAACCTAAATTTGTGTGATAAATAATAATCAATATAGGACCTTAATATAATGTGAATAATAAATAAATGAATAAATGAATATAGTAAAGATATAAATATAATTCGTGCCACTCTGATTATATGTGATCAATCCAGCAATATTTGTGCAAAAATATATTCCAATGTGCACGTGCATTGGTGTAATGCATAAATATATACATAAATAAAGTCTTTATAAACAAGTGCCAAAGTGCAGGTGATTTCTTAATCCCTCTCGCCAGGTGCCTTATGGTCTCCCTATTCGCTCACCTTTATGTTTGCCTGAATGAATTCAGGCAAATAGACTTTTTGATCCTTCCAGGATCGGTGGGTTAATGCTCTGTATTTAGATGTGCCAAGGTGTAGATGTAAGTACTCCTGTACTCTCCTCTTTCTCCTTTTTCAACTGCTCATACACCGATATTAAGATGAGCTGGTCTTAATATCGGTGTATGAGCAGTTGAAAGAGGAGAGTACAGGAGTACTTACATCTACACCTTGGCACATCTAAATACAGAGCATTAACCCACCGATCCTGGAAGGATCAAAAAGTCTATTTGCCTGAATTCATTCAGGCAAACATAAAGGTGAGCGAATAGGGAGACCATAAGGCACCTGGCGAGAGGGATTAAGAAATCACCTGCACTTTGGCACTTGTTTATAAAGACTTTATTTATGTATATATTTATGCATTACACCAATGCACGTGCACATTGGAATATATTTTTGCACAAATATTGCTGGATTGATCACATATAATCAGAGTGGCACGAATTATATTTATATCTTTACTATATTCATTTATTTATTTATTATTCACATTATATTAAGGTCCTATATTGATTATTATTTATCACACAAATTTAGGTTGTGTATGTGTGTATTGGCAATATATTGGTAATCATCCAATTATATTAGTTTATGGAATATCACTTATCATTAATATTCACATTTGATTTATATAGTTATTAATATAGTAGAATGAGTACAGACTGGATATAGAGATATACATGCATAAAAGTAGGAGCGCGGCACTATAAATACCTTATATATTGATCTGACACTACCAAGTGAGTTTGTGTAAGTGCCAGCGCACCAAACACAAAATACTAGCAATTAATTGTTTAAACACCCATTGAATGCCTCATTCTTAATAGCTCACAAGGATTCACACTATATATATCTCTTACATGTTGCACCTGAAGTCACACTGACATGCGAGTCACGCGATTTCAAAGTCGTATTCCGTGTGAACTCGGCTAATTATACTACTGAAAGCATTTTGTTATATCTGTCCTATAAGTGCTAAAAGAATACCTGTTGATCCTGCCAGAAATCCAGTCGGTCTGTCACTCTTTGTAGCCAGCTGACAGGGATGTACTGAAATATTATCAATATTCCTGAAAGTGGGGGGTGTTCTGTCCGACTCCGGCGTGAGCAGCCTAGGGTGGGAGGTTGCTTCTCCATAAACGCAGTGCTGGCATTGAGGGCAGGAAGGGTGCTTACTGGCAGGATCACCAAGTAAAAATAACATACATTTCTGGGATACATTTCAGGTCTGTATATGTTTCAACTTTTTTGTTTTTTTTTTAATCTTCTTGCAGAGACATCAAAGACACTACCGTGGGGACCTTGTCGCAGCGAATTACCAATCAGGTCCATGGGCTGAAAGGACTCAACTCCAAACTGTTGGACATCAGGAGTTACCTTGAGAAAGTGTCCACGGGCAAACTGCCCATCAACCACCAGATCATCTACCAACTGCAGGACGTCTTCAACCTCCTGCCGGACGTCAACCTGCAGGAGTTCGTCAAGGCCTTCTACCTAAAGACTAATGATCAGATGCTGGTGGTCTACCTGGCCTCCCTCATCCGCTCGGTAGTCGCCCTTCACAATCTCATCAACAATAAGATTGCCAACCGAGACGCCGAGAAGAAGGAGGGGCAGGAGAAGGAAGAGAGCAAGAAAGAAAGGAAAGACGAAAAGGAGAAAGAAAAAGCCGACTCAAAGAAAGAGGAAAAGAAGGAGAAGAAATAATGGCGCCCTCGTTGTTTGTCGTTTTTATTTGTATGTTTGCTGGTGGTTGGATCCTGTAATAAAAAAATATATATAATATTGCTGACCAGGCATTCCTATTTATACTATAGAAGAGTCGCATGTAAAGCACCTTTCTTGTGCACAGCATGGTCAGTTATGTAGTTCTCTGTCCATCCTCCATGACACCCACCTGGAAGCTGTTTAGAGTTGGTGCCTTCAATAAAGATTTTTGATAAAGCTGAACTTAAAGGGTAACTCCAGTTTTGTGGGGGGGGGGAAATGGCAAATAATCTAGCATACACCAGTGCAGTGTTTTTCAACCTTTTTTGTGCAAAGGCACACTTTTTTCATGAAAAAAATCACGAGGCACACCACCATTAGAAAATGTTAAAAAAGTTTACCTCTGTGCCTATATTGACTATATATAAAGTAATTCTCTTGAATAGGAATCAAACACAAAGAAATTATTTTATAATTGGACCCGGGGGCCGGACCAAGAGTAGATGAATGATGTGTATGTGTCATTCATAGTAAGTATAGTAATATTCCCCCATAGTAAGCATAGTAATTCATCCCCCATATAGTAATTCATCCCCCATAGTAATTCATCCCCCATATAGTAATTCATCCCCCATATAGTAATTCATCCCCCATATAGTAATTCATCCCCCATAGTAATTCATCCCCCATAGTAAGCATAGTAATTCATCCCCCATATAGTAATTCATCCCCCATAGTAATTCATCCCCCATAGTAAGCATAGTAATTCATCCCCCATATAGTAATTCATCCCCCATAGTAATTCATCCCCCATAGTAATTCATCCCCCATAGTAATTCATCCCCCATAGTAATTAATCCCCCATATAGTAATTCATCCCCCATATAGTAATTCATCCCCCATATAGTAATTCATCCCCCATATAGTAATTCATCCCATATAGTAATTCATCCCATATAGTAATTCATCCCCCATATAGTAATTCATCCCCCATAGTAATTAATCCCCCATATAGTAATTCATCCCATATAGTAATTCATCCCCCATATAGTAATTCATCCCCCATAGTAATTCATCCCCCATATAGTAATTCATCCCCCATATAGTAATTCATCCCCCATATAGTAATTCATCCCCCATATAGTAATTCATTCCCCATATAGTAATTCATTCCCCATAGTAATTCATCCCCCATATAGTAATTCATCCCCCATAGTAATTCATCCCCCATAGTAAGCATAGTAATTCATCCCCCATATAGTAATTCATCCCCCATAGTAATTCATCCCCCATAGTAAGCATAGTAATTCATCCCCCATATAGTAATTCATCCCCCATATAGTAATTCATCCCCCATATAGTAATTCATCCCCCCCATAGTAATTCATCCCCCATAGTAATTCATCCCCCATATAGTAATTCATCATCCCCCATATAGTAATTAATCCCCCATAGTAATTCATCCCCCATATAGTAATTCATCCCCCATATAGTAATTCATCCCCCATATAGTAATTCATCCCCCATATTAAGTCCCCAAGCCCCCCCTGTGTCAATTCACTTACCTTTGCTCCGCGCGTTCCTCTCGCCGTTCCGGTCCCATATTGTAGCATGAAAATCTGTCTCCTATGAGGATCTGTCCCCCTCGACGTATCTGCGCATGTGCCAGTTTCAGGCATTAGCAGCCGATCGGCGATCTCCGGCACATGCGCAGATACGTCGAGGGGGACAGATCATCCTGACAGTATCACGGTCCGCGGGCCGGATTAAAAGGTCCGCCGGGCCGTAGTTTGCCCATTGCTGTTCTAATGATTGGTCTTTTTGTGAGCCGAGGCCACATGTTGCGGATGAAATTGCAATTTTTGCCACGGCACGCCACACAATATCTCACGGCACACTAGTGTGCCGCGGCACAGTGGTTCAAAAACGCTGCACCAGTGTGCTACACAAGTCATATTGTAATTGAATGTTATTAAAAATGACTTTTTTTTTTTTTTTTTTTTTTTAAATCTGCAGCCGCTGTGATTTTCTGTAACATGCAATATGGCACCCTGGAGGCTTTCTGTATACAGATGGTATAGAGAAGCTGCCCCCCTCCCCCACAAGCATAATTTCCTGCTTGTGTGATTGGCTCACTGACTTTCCCAGAAATCAGATTTTGGGCATCCCCTGCAGCAGAAATGTCATTTTTCATAAGATACTCCCAACGGGATGCAGACCCTGCCGCTTTCCTCATAAGAGCCCTGCAAGTGATTGATCATTATAAAAAAATTCAATATGGCACCCTGGAGGCTTTCTGTATACTGATGGTATACAGAAGCTGCCCCCCTCCCCCACAAACATAACTTCCTGCTTGTGTGATTGGCTCACTGACTTTCCCAGAAGTCAGATTTTTGGCATCCCCTGCAGCAGAAATGTCATTTTTCATAAGATACTGCCAAAGGGATGCAGACGCTGCCACTTTCCTCATTAAAGCCCTGCAAGTGCAGCAGCTGATCATTATAAAAAATGCAATACGGCACCCTGGAGGCTTTCTGTGTACAGATGGTATACAGAAGCTGCCCCCTCCCCCACAAAGATAATTTCCTGCTTGTGTGATTGTTTCACTGACTTTCCCAGAAGTCTGCTCTTAAATACAAGTCAGATTTTGGGCATCCCCTGCAGCAAAAATGTCATTTTTTGGGGAGATACTCCCAAAAGGATGCAGACCCTGCCACTTTCCTCAGAGCCCTGCAAGTGCAGCAGCTGACAGATTATTATAAAATCACTCCCATTCACTTTCCATATGGACACAGAGAAACAGATATTTCTTCAGAATAACAAAAGGTATGTGCATAGATCACCCAGGGGGGAGGTGGTTTGATTTTTGTTTGTTTGCCTCAAAAAAGGGGGAGTTACTCTTCAAGGCAAACTACACAGAATAAATACATAAAGGAGAGCAGTTGAACCCGCCAAAGGATTTGCAATCCTGTCCATTCATTCCTTACACAGCACAACTACTACCTCGGCTGCAAATATGAAATACACCATTGACACCACTCCTGCCCCCCTCCCCCCTTAGACTGTTGATTGGTCAATAAAGCAGCAGTGGACTGATGAGGTCACCCTTCTGCTCACTATTCCTCTTAGCTTGTTCCTTGCTGTAGTGCTACTAGGCAGGAAATGGCGAGATTCTCATGTCACGTTTAGGTAAGCTAGAAATCTATTTCATGAATACAGAGCTGTATTTATTCATTTATTGTTTTTTGCCTGTTTTATCTACCCGGGGTTCCGCTTTAAAGGCAATTGCAGTTCAATGACCGTTGGACATTATGGGGGGAGCAGTTAAAATGTCTGGAGTTTAGGGAGCTAACAATGTGTCATTAAAAGATTTTTTTGTATCACACGGATGGTTTAAGTGGATTTTAGTTGGGGGGGGGGGGGGGGGGGGTGGGGGTTTGAATAGGCTTTGCCAAAAAAAAAAAAAAAAATGGTTTGTTTCCATCTGTACAGCGCCAAATGAAACGTGAGAGAGAGCGAGGGATCGTAATTTTGTTTAGTTTGGGGTGCAGCAGGGGGGTGGTGTGATGCATGTTTCACTATCACATCGTTATAGTTTTTTATAATACTGTATGTATATGTTATATACACACACACACAGGCGTACCTCGGTTTACGAATTTAATTCGTTCTGCGGAACTTTTCGTATTGCGAAAAATTCGTAAACCGGAATGTGGTTTCCCATAGGAATGCATTGAAAACCAATTAATCTGTTCCGGAGGTCAGAAAAAAGTATTTTATCTGTTCAAAACTCTTTGTAGAGCGCACGTTAAAGACATAAATACTGTGCAGGGACATGATTAAAAAACAAATCGTAAATGCATTGAAAACCAAGTAATCTGTTCGTATTGCGAAACAAATTTGTAAACCGCGCCATTACTGAGGCGTTCGTAAACCGAGGTATGCCTGTATGTGTGTATATATACATTGTATACAGTCGGGGGAGGGGTGGACTCAATTCTGGGAGACACTGTATATATACAGTTGTGTTCAAAATACTAGCAGTCAGACATCACTAACCGGATCAATCACTGTTTTTGGTGGAAATGATATTTCTACATGGCAAATAATTTCCTAGCAGGTATAGTAGAGTCATAGAAATCCAAGAGACCCAACAGTCATGACATGCATGCTGCTGATTCTGTGTCATTGAATCACTCATTGAAAGGGCGCGTTCAAAATAATCGCAGTGTGGAGTTCTATTAGTGAGGTCATTCATTCTTTGACAGAACAGGTGGCAATTATTGCCCTTATTTAAGGAAGGAAGGCAGCAAATGTTGGACATGCTGGTTACAGTGCATTTCTCTCTGAAATTCTGAGGAAAATGGGTGGTTCCAGACATTGTTCAGAAGAACAGCGTACCTTGATTAAAAAGTTGATTGGAGGGGAAAACATATAAAGAAGTGCAGAAAATGTTCGGCTGCTCAGCTAAAATGATCACAAATGCTTTAAAATGGCAACCAAAACCTGAAAGACGCGGAAGAAAGTGAAGAACTACCATTGGAATGGATAGAAGAATAGCCAAAATGGCGCGGACTCAGCCAACAATCAGCTCCAGGAAGATGAAAGAAGGTGTGACGTTCCCTGTGAGGACTCAGCCAACAATCAGCTCCAGGAAGATGAAAGAAGGTGTGACGTTCCCTGTGAGGACTCAGCCAACAATCAGCTCCAGGAAGATGAAAGAAGGTGTGACGTTCCCTGTGAGGACTGTTACAATTAGAAGACGCCGATGTGAAGCCAAGCTATCTGCAAGAAGCCCCCGCAAAGTCCCACTGTTGGGAAAAAGACGTGTGCTGAAGAGGTTACAATCTGCCACAGAGCACATTGACCGGCCCTAAAGAGAAATGGGGCAACATTTTGTGGACTGATGGAAGTAAGATTGTTCTTTTTGGGTCTAGTGGGCGGAGACAGTTTGTCAGACGACCCCCAAACACTGAATTCAAACCACAGTACACTGTGAA